TTATAAGTACTTTATTCATTTATTCATTACTAAACTGTATAACGCATGTCTATCTATACTGCACTCAACAACCAACAGAGCTTATAAATACACACTAAATCTTGTCGAGAGTGAGTTTGTGACACACAGAGCATCTAATTTGAGAAAATTGAGAAGCTTTTATCTGGAAGCGTCTAATTAAGTCTAAAAAGAATGTCATGCTCATACAGCAGAGGGACAATGAGGCAGTGTTGCGCTGACCTGCTACTGCACTTTCATACAGATCTAAATCAGAAGACTTTACACCTGTTTACACAAGAGTAATTCATAAGAGAGGTAAAAAAAAAAAAAAACAAGATAAATTATTCCCAATCACGGTGGGGCTAAGAAGTCTCATCTACATCAGTAACATTCTAGACAATGGAAATGAAATATGGCTCAGGACTTCATCTAACAAGGGTTGCCGAGTTCCAATCCCTAGTTTTCTATAGTTCAGCAAAACAATCAACCTATAAATAAACACACACGTTGAATTCAGTGACCTTCCTTCCTGAACTTTTGATACTAACTTCCTCGCAGAAGAAACTAAAGGTTGTATAAGGGAACAAAAGCAAGTCATGGCAAAATGAAAAGGATATTTCTCCTTTGTAGCCACACAATAGACTTTATTTTACATAGCTCAAGCCATCAGGCCAATTCTTGCAGCACAAAATAAAACAACAGACCATTTTTCTATCCTGTGGAAAATAAAAAAGCTGAATGTCTTGAGCTGCTGAAATCTTAATTAAGTGTTGTATAGGCCTAAAACTAACAAGCGCTGCATGTCCATTAATTCTCTTAAAAAACAGCCTAAACTTATTGAGGGAACACATCCAATATTTATAGTTTCGTAAACAAGCATGGAAAGTATGTAAAGGAGTATTTATTTATCATTAACAACCAACAATCCTCAAAATACAACAGTGCTGCTGATATATAGGTAACACTTTATAATAACTACACACTATCATATTAAGCATTAGCATCTAGTGATTTCATTATTTGTTAAGAAATAACTCTACATTATTAAACGTTAGTAGGCAGTTTATAACTGAAGCTACAAATGCTCCATTCTTGACTTATAACCATATTTTTATTGTGCTGAATAATTGTACTTTTATAGTTTGTAACTGGTTGATTTTTCATGTCTAAATGAAGTATTGCATTTTTTACAAACCATTTGTATTTAAGAATAGTTGGTGGTTTTTAAGATAATTCAGATAGAGTTAATAAATGATTAATAAACTAATAAAATTAACGTTTATAACGTGTATTATTCAGGCATATAGTAATGGTTACTATGTATGTTAATAAATGCTTAATTAACTCAACATTATCCAGTTTTGTGGCCTAATCTAAAGTGTGGACTAAGTATGCTTTATAAATCCCTTATAAATGACAATTAAAGATTAAAATTACTGTAAAGTTTAAACATTGTTGAATAACAGGAGTGACTGATTATCAAAATGTGACATAAAATTGGATAAAACAACTATATAATAATTTAAGAATATAATAAGATGCATTAAACTGCACAATCATTTTATTTTAGATTGCAAAGATTGCACAGATTTGTTTTTCAATTAAAAGTACAGTTTCATTTGTGTATCTTCAAATAAATAGGAATGAATAAATTTGTTTATTTTGTTTTTTCCTGTTTAGAATTTAACTAAGCCTTTAATTGTCATTTATAAGGGATTTATAAATCATGAATAGTCATCACTTTAGATTTGGTCACAAAAAAAAAAATTTAAAAACAGCCTAAACTTATTGAGGAAACACATCCAATATTTATAGTTTCGTGAACAAGCATGGAAAGTATGTTTTTCAATTAAAAGTACATTCATTTGTGTATCTTCAAATTAATAGGACTGAATAAAGTCGTTTATTTTCTTTTTTCCTGTTTAGAATTTAACTAAGCCTTTAATTGTCATTTATAAGGGATTTATAAATCATGAATAGTCATCACTTTAGATTTGGTCACAAAACTGGATGAAGTGGAGTTAATAAAGCATTTGTTGACAGACAAATTAATACTAGTATATGCCTGAATAATAAGAATTATACATGTTAATTTCAATAGTTTATAATTATTTACAAACTCTGATCTTAATTATGCTTAAATAACTGGTTTGTAAATAATGCATTACTTAATTTAGTAATGAAAAATAAATCATTACCAAAGTATGAAAGTACAATTATTAAGCACATTATAAATGTGCTTATAAGTCAAGATTACAGCATTTGTAGCTGCAGTTATAAAGTGCTTATTAACGTTTGTTAATGTAGAGTTAATGCTTCACAGATAATGAATAAACTATTTGCTGTAACGTGTAATAAATTGTTCATAGTGTGTAGTTATTATAAAGTGTTACCGTTTGTTTAGCCTGCATTAATGCGTTCAGTGTAAGCTGCACAATTAAATAATAAAAGATTGTGATCTCAATTCAAACCCGCGCAACATGAATGAGAAATTATGACATTTGTATGTTTATTAATCCTTCAAAGCACTGCATTCAAATCTGCATTTTATAAAGAGAAATCCTGTTTTTATACTTTTTCAGTTAGTTACAAACAATAAAATAACACAGAAGAACTGGAAGAACAGTTTATAGATATAAACACTGATGTTTGTGGTAAAGATTAAAATCACTGTTTAATGGAACTTGATGCAGGTGAATGTTGTAGCGATTACCTTGTATAACCAACAGGTTGTGACAAACAACCATCAAAATTATCAAATCAAATCACTTTTATTGTCACATCATCAGCAGCATGTGTGGTATGATGAGTGAAAAGCCTAGGTGCTGGCTCCAGACAGTACAAAATACAGATAGTGTATTCACAGACACTATCTATGGATACAAACAAGTAAAAATTATCCACCTATAATGAAACTTGAAGTTTTATGTGTCAATTGTTAAATCATTAATTGAAAATGAATATGATCTGTTGAACAAGATGTTAGATTTCTATATTTAGCATTATCAGCAACAGTAGCAAAGATCATTTTTCATATTGAATGATTTTAATTTTTTCAGCTGGTTCTTTTTCATTGTTATTTTTATTAAAACTACAGGTTCTAAGTTGTGTTTGTTAAAACCAATGGTTTTTGCAGAAATATTTCTATATTATATTCTCTATAAATGGATTACAAATGACATTTGTCTCCTTTTTTGCTCATCTGAAAAAATGAGCACTGATAATTAGTCTTGTTTATTTGTGAAGTGTGATTTTAGGTCATTACTCAGGCAATGCTAGCAAAAAAGCTTTAAATGTCTCGCATGTATGTCATATTGACCACATGTACTCACATACTTACTGACATGGTGATCTTGGCATTAGAAAAGGCTAAACAATATTTGTTTTCTCTCACCCTTTCAACTTTTTAAAATACATTTCTAGATCTAAAAAAAAAACTATATCAATTAATAATTTGTTTCATTCATTCATTCATTTTCTTTTTGCTTAGTCCCTTTATTGATCTGGGGTTGTCACAGCATAATGAACTGTCAACTTATCCTGATTATGTTTATTCAGCAGATGCTTTCCAGCTGCAACCCAACACTGGGAAACATCCATACTTGCGTATTAACACTCATACACTACGGACAATTTAGCTTACCCAATTCACCTCTAGTGCATACCTTTGGACTTGTGGGGGAAACCGGAGCAAACCCACACCAACACGGGGATGCAAACTCCACACAGAAATGCACAGAAAAATTCCCTTTTCCTTAATCCTTATTCAGCAAATCACAAACAAGTGGAAACATCATGGGGCCAAATATTGTTGTAGCAAAGCTTGAAAAAAATAATTAACATACACACCAAAAAGCTGTTATTGCAATGAGCAGCTTTAAGCAATGTGTTGTTTTTTTTAAGTGAACATGCTATTTGATTACTAAAATAGATTTTAACCATTAGAACTGAAAAAACATTAAACAAAAAAAAATTTTTTTTGGGGAAAATATAAAAATATAAAAACAGAAATTGGGAGATGACATAAAATAGAACAAAAAGTTTTATTATAAAATTTTGTTTATTAAATACTAGATTCATTAGATTTTTAGATTACTAAAAGAAAAAATAATATTTTAGGAATGTTTTAATCTTCGTGATGTAAAATAACATTTAAAATATCAAGATTGATAATTGTTAAAACTGTCATTAAGAAATTATATAAATGAAAAAACTTGATGTTCTAAAAAATATAAACACATTAATGAAATTATAATTAGAATGTAAGACATAACCTTAAAACTCAAAAGGTTTAGAAGAAAATACTAAATGGACATGTAAACAGAGTCATGAACACACCAGAACAGGTCTTAAAGGGATAGTCCACTAAAAATTAAAACAATTACTCACTATTTACCCGCCCCTGTGTGGTTTATTTACTTACACTAAAGATATGTTTACCTGCTGTAACCACTGACTTACATAAAAAAATAAGAAATAAAAACACTATGGAAATCAATGTTTAGTCTCCAGCATTCTTCAAAATATCTTCTTTCGATTTCACAAGATAAAAAAAGTCAAAAATGTTTTAAACAAGTGAAGAGTGAGTGAATGATGACAGCTTTTCAGTTTATAACTGTCCCTTTAAAGATTTCTTCTTGTGTGTTCTTTACTAAAGATGTTTTATTTTGTTGAGGTGTTACTTTTATGTGTATCTTTAAATATTTTTCAAGGCCACTAAAACAAAGTTGAAGTGCGGTTACAGTTAATTATGCCACAGGATAGCAGATTCACATGGTTTATGACTCGAGTTTACAAAAAGTGAAAAAACCGAACCCAAAACCAGCATGAACAACTATTTTGACAATATAATAGCGTTTACAGGTCATCATAATTTGCTGTTCAGCAAAAATGAACAGAATCTTTATGTACATCACAAACAGTCGCTTGCAAACAGAGCTTCATGTCTCTCAGAGGTCAAAGCAACAGAGATTACAAAAAGTACATCATACAAAACTCACCTCAACAGCAGGAGACGAGCGCGTCCACCGGTTCCTTTAGTGTTTTAATATCAACTGAAGGTCATTAGTTTTGGGAAAATAGTAAATGAACCCAATCTTTGCACTGTTCCTACAGAGCAGCACCGAGATACTCCGACCCAGCGAAGTAGCGTGCACGAAGTCAGCAACAAAACTGACCGTAATCCAAAATAAAAGTCCTATGAGGGGAAAAGCTTGAGCGAGTGATTTGTATTCCTAGTCGTTATCAGTAATACTAACACACCAATCGCATGTATTATTCTTCTTAACATTGTTAAGTAATTGCGAATCATTTTAATAGCATTATTTCAACAACACTAATGAAACATCAAAAGCAAGATCAAAGAAGTTGAAGACTGTTAAAGAAATCTGATAATAGGATAAAAGAAAATCAGTAATCCACCATTTTCAGCACAGATTTAAAAGAAGTCGTGGTCCTACTATTTTGTGTATTAATTCAAAATGAAGAAAATCTATTTTATTGTTTTGAAAATTACAAATTTTCAGTGGATGCCATGGAAATTACTGCTTCCGGTGCTTTTTGTGGCATGTTTACCGTTACGTTTCACGTGATGTGAAAACTTTCCGTACTTCCGTTGCCACATGGCAAGTTATCCACGATGTTAATGTAATGTAAAGAATGGCAATGTTTATAGTTTTGCACATATATGCGCATGTGGCGACTTTAACCTCCAACAAATTCCTTCGTAGAACGGAGTGAAAACTGTCTTGTTTTCACGAGACATTTCATTTCTACATTGAAATTCTTTAGGCTAGACAATATAGCAAACATTTTATTTATTTGTGAAGACTATATAAGACTCCATATTTAGCTTCCTGCTCGTCGAATATTAGCGATACACATACGAACAAAATTAACAATTATAAAACTTAGTGTAATACATTATATTGGATGAACGAAAAGTAGGTGTTTTGGAGAATGAATATGATGGGTGATGATAGTGACAATTCAGCTAAATAGCAGCCTCTAGCGTTGCTACTCAGCTAGTAAACTTATATCACAGATATTCGTTTGAACCTGGTTTGAACTAAACATCGTGTCAGGTATAAAAAGTTCTGAACTGAAGTTTTGGATGAATGCTTTGTGATATTTAAATTCAGAACTTAAAGTGACAAACAATTAAACTAAAAAAATAATAATAAAACATATATAAGGTCGCTGGTTCGAGCCTCGCCTCAGTTGACGTTTCTGTGTGGAGTTTGCATGTTCTCCCTGAATTCGCATGTGATTCCTCCGGGTGCTCCGGTTTCCCCCACAGTCCTAGGACATGCGGTACAGGTGAATTGGGTAGGCTAAATTGTCCGTAGTGTTTGTGTATGTGGATGTTTCCCAGAGATAGGTTGTGGCTGGAAGGGCATCCGCTGTACATACATACATACATACATATATGTATGTATGTATGTATACATACATATATTAGTGCTGTCAAAATTAGTGCGTTAACGAATGAGATTAATTTGAAATATTTAACGTGTTAAAAAAATTCATGCAATTAATGCAGTTGCATTTTTTTTTCCTGTTGTGAATGAGTACAATTGTATTCAATACTTTATTAATATTATTATAATTTTTCATTTTCCATATCTGCAATGCCTATTTTGGCATTTTTTTGCAGTCCACTTAGAATCCAACATGGAAATACATTTTTTCTTTATTGGCAATAATTGTTTAAAAATTCAAATGGCATTAACATGCCAGTGTTTTAATTTCTTCAATAAATATGGCTGTCAAGCCAGGATCTTGATGGTTTATTGTGGGTATGTTGTATATATGAAGAAATCTGTGTTATAAAGTTAAACAAAAATTCTAATAAACAATGATATTTTGATTTTAAACAGTTTTTGTCTGGCGTTTACATTAATTTTACATTAGAATAGCCAAAATTACAAGTTTCAGTCTTTTAAATGCAATTAATTAAAAAAAGTGTGATTAATTAGTTAATTTTTAATCGATTGACAGCACTAATATATATATATATATATATATATATATATATATATATATATATATATATATATATTATGCATATGCTTATTACAGGTCTCTGAGAATGCAAACTTCAAACTAAATTATTGTATATAAATACCTGATTTGTACATACTCTCTGTACATATACAATCATAATTATGTTCATATCTATCTACATACCCCCGATTATTTATAGCAACCTGTACATATCTATTGTAAATCTGTTCATAGTTAATATAACCTGTGTATAATGTTCATAGTACATGCACCTGTAAATATAACCATAGTTTTTTCATAATTGCACTTAATAACTTATATTTACAGTTGAAGTCGGAATTATTAACCCCCCTAAATTATTAGTTTATTTTTTCCCCAGTTTCTGTTTAACGGAGAGAAGATTTTTTTTCCAACACATTTCTAAACATAATAGTTTTAATGACTCATCTCTAATAACTGATTTATTTTATCTTTGCAATGATGACAGTAAATAATATTTGACTAGATATTTTTTAAGACTTCTATACAGCTTAAAGTGACATTTAAAGGCTTAACTAGGTTAATTAGGTTAACTTGACAGGTTTAGGTAATTAGGCAAGTTAGTCTACAGAACAAACCGTTGTTATACAATATCGAAAAGATATACAGCTTAAAGGGGCTAATAATTTTGACCTTAAATTGGTGTTTAAAAAATTTAAAACTGCTTTTATTCTAGCCGAAATAAAACAAATAAGAGTTTCTTCAGAAGAAAAAATATTATCAGACATACTGTGAAAATGTCCTTGCTCTGTTAAACATCATCTTGAAAATATTTTAAAAAGAAACAAAATTTCAAAGGGGGGCTAAAAATTCTGACTTCAAATGTATATCCTGCACATGCTGCTATTGCACTCCTAGTTAGACCTAAACTGCTTTTCATTGCCTTGAACACGTGCAATAAAAATACAGTTGAATCTAATCTAATCATCTAATTAAAAAATAAAGAAATAATCAATAACACTAAAGACCTATTTTATATTTACTTATACCTCTTCGTTTCAAACCAACGCTCAGCACTGGTATCATTTAAAGTGTTACCAAGCTCCAAAACATTAATACTGCACCATCAGTAATAATAAATGGAATAAATTCTCTTGGCAAACAGTCCAGTGGATTAATCTGTACACGGAGACATTTATTACATTTTACACAGCAGGATTGGATAGAGGAATGCCATCTACTCATACAGGGGAGGAACTGTGAAGCTAGTTTGGTTACTCTTACTCCAATTAATTAGTATAATAATTATGAGATTTGTCACACAAAAGCCACTGGAAACAACCTGTATACATCGATTAGATAAAACAATAACATCCGATTACTCATAAATTAAGAACATAGCTTCAAGATACAGACACTCTTACAAACATTTAAAGGTATCATTCACAAAAGAAAGAACCTCACGCTGATAAACCAGACAATACTCCAAAGAGACAAAGACTTGCATTGGATCACATCAAAGATATACATGCAAGCCATTGCAAATACTGTGGTAATGGGCATGTAAATATCCCGACCGTTGATTTGTTTGAACTGCAGGACATGTGTTGTAAAGTTGATAAAGAGTGTTCTATATAGTTAAGATTGTTAGATGATATGTCCAGTAGCAGTCTTTGTCTCATTGCTTTGTGAGCCTTTAAGAATTGTAACTTATGCAATGGTTGGACATAAAGGTTTATCCGGCGACGCGGTAGTTGGCGTGGATCTCTGGCTTAATGTCGCACACCATTTTCAGTAGGTTGCCGAGCACAGCCTCCTTGTTCTGCTGATAGCTCCCCTGGATGCGGCCCATTTTATCCACAGTCTCCTTGTCCACCTCTACAGCAGAGTTTCCATGAGACCCCAGTGCCTGCAGGAACATGCAATGGGAGATAACTGTCATTCATAATTAAAACTAATGCATACTATTATGTATCACTATTATACTCATGTATACTGTTATGTACAGTTGATGTCAAAATTATTAGCCCTCCTGTGAATTTTGATTTTCTTAAATATTTTTTAATTAGGAGTCAGGAATTTTTCACAATCATTTCTACAATATTTTTTCTTCAGTAGCAAGTCTTATTTGTTTTATTTTGGCTAGAATAAAAGCAGTTTTAATTTTTTTAAAAACATTATATTGTCAATATTATTAGCCTCCTTAAGCAACATTTTTTTTTGATTGTCTACATCAGTGGTTCCCAAAGTGGGGGTTGAGAGACAATCACGCTTGGTGATTTCCAAAAATTTCATACATGTTTTTATACTATTAGATTTACTATATTTTATCCATAATATTAGTTATAATATTTACATATAAAAAACATGCAAATAAAAAGCAACAGCCTTTCAACAGTTTTACCATTGGATTGCGACTTCTGGGGTTATTATTAGGCCAGACTAATGACTCCAAAATAGTGATGACAAAAAGCAGATTGATTTTACATGAAAATGTTAAACTTTAACACCTTTACAGTATTCACATACATAAAAATAAAGGCCACGACTGAACATTGAGGCTCCATGCCGCAGTCTCCAAAATCTCCAATGTTTACAGTCTGGTGCTGTAAACATTGTGTCCACCATTCTCATGAAGTGATGTCAATATTAAATGAAACAAATGAATAATGACCATTAAAAATTATTTGGTTGTTAGACTGTTGCACTTTTTTGCTTTGTCAATACGCTTGTTTATAAAGTGCCTACTGTTGTGTGTGTACCATTGTGTGCAATGTTTGTATGTTTATAACCACCTCCAAGGATAGTGGGGGTCGCGAGTCACTGAAATTGTTTAATGGGGGTCACAAGCTGAAAAGTTTGTTAGATATATATATATATATATATATATATATATATATATATATATATATATATATATATATATATATATATATATATATATATATCTAACCTAAATACTAGCATCTTGAAAAATGTCTAGTAAAATATAATGTGCTGTCATCATTGCAAAGATAGAAAAAATCAGTAATTAAAATGAATATATTTAGAAATTAGTTGGAAAAAAACAGGTTAAACAGAAATTGGGGAAATGAATATACAGAGGGGCTAATAATTCTGACTTCCAACTGTATACCAGAACTACCAGTCTAGAGGTTGGTTTAATTGCAAATTTTGAACGTTGAAGAGTGACATTAGATTCATTGACCGATAAAACAGACTGTATTTGTGTGCTCCACTATGTGTGCTTATGACATAGCCTTCGGTCTATTTGACAGTTGATCAGTTGCACTGATGCTAACAAAAACATTTGACACCTGCATGTGCCTTGAATGTGTACATTTAGAAAATAGTATATAAGGGCTTGTATTAACAAAACATTTGATCTTACTATTAAGAGTCTATTGATTTTATTTACAAGTTTTTTTCCATTCATATCCAGAGACAAAGTTTTACTAAGAAATAGAGAGAAGTGTAAAAAGAGTAGTTCATACAAACAAGACAATTCTGCCATTATTTACTCATCCTCCTCTTGTTCCATACCTGTTAGAGTGTCTGTCTAATGTTGGATGAAAAAAAAAACAATATTTTGAAGAATGTTGGAAACCTGTAACTACTAAACGCGATAGTAGGAAAAAAATACCATGGAAGTCAATAGGTACATTCTTTAAAATATCTTCTTTTGTGTTCAACAACAAAAAAAAGCACACACTCACTCAAACTGGCCTCACAGTGTTCGGTGTTCATCATGCTTGTAAATTGAATTTTTTGGCTACAAATTGTTGGATATTTTTAGATTGTGATGTCATGGATTGCCAGTTGGGGCTGAACGAGATTGTCTCATGATCTTTGATCCTGTAAAGTTCGCCTTTTTTTAATTCCACTTGTTTTTATATTGGAGATCTATTTTTATAACTGTGCCTTTTCAGAGTATTTAATACGTTGATCCTTTGCTCTTCCAAACTAGTTTGGAACAAAGATTGCAGAATTTATATTTTTAAATGAACTTTAAGCTAAAAGTAAAGATGGGGCTGACCTCATTACTATAGATGATGTCTACATGATTACTTATTACGCACACCTTGATGGAGAGTGGTGTATGTTTGAGATTTATTGAAAGAAACTTTGTGCAGAGCAATATTATGCTGCAATATTCCAAAAAAAATTTCAAAATTAAAATGTTGCCACATTCAATTAACTTTTTGCAGGTTCCTTGCTTTTAATGTTGTGGACACAAAATAAAAAAACTATTCTTCCAAACTATGTGTTTGTGACGTTAGTGTATTTTCTTATTTTTTAATTATTAAGCAAATATAGTTTAAAATACTTTTAAAATATTTTAAATATATAATTTTATAATACATTTGACCAAATATATAGAAATAGGCAAATATGTATTTAAAGAACATTTATTTGCACAAATAATATATTTTTGGGCATTATGAAATAAGACTTAAGATATTATTGAAAGCGTATTTCTTACAGTATGGGAATCCCTCCTTACTGATGGTAATAACTTATTAAAAGCTAATTGTAGTCAAATTAAATCGTTTTATTTTCATTGCAGATTACTGGCAACAGTCAATTTAGCGTAGTTTGCGGTTTGGTCTTACTAGTTACTTAGAAGTCCTCTTCACTTCTAACGTTTGACTAATTTAGGAGCCAGTTTTAGTCACATGACAATCAAAATCAAATAGATGTTTGTTTAGTAGAATCTATGACATGAGATGAGAAAGTTCTGCCTGCTTCTAGAAAGGCAGGAAGGGAAACAGCTGCTCACTTGTTGCGGTTTAAATAGAGACACGGAAAAATACTGCCATTCACAGCATGGTGTAATAATTGATATGTGGAAACTTTGGAAGATCAAAAAGACTCTTGGGATTGAAACATAGGACACTTTATTAACAATATTATATTACTGTTTTTTCTAACAGTACATACTGTACGTTTCTTAAAATTGCACACATGTATCATGAGGGAAATATTAATTTTATGTCTATAAGTTTTTGACTGTCAAAAGTAACCGTTAATGGGAATTTTTTAAATCATGACGTACAAAAATCTGAGCAAAAATTTTCCAAAAATGTCTCCTGAAGATAAAAAGTCACCTACATCATGGATAGCACGAGGCTGAGTAAATTAACAGCAAATTATCTTATTTTTGGGTGAACCAACTCTTTAATAATGGAACTTATCAGCTTTTTTTTAACAGGAAAAAAAACAACCCTATTTAAACACTGCAAAGACAATCACATTAAACGCAAGGCAGAATTCTTTAACAACTCTTTTAACATTGTTGATCATATGCGTGTATTAATGTTTCTAGAATTTAAAAAGTAATGAATCTCACCGCAGCCTCCTTTGTCTTAAACTCTTTCTCTCGTTGCAGACGATACTGCTCAATCTCAGCCTGTGCCTCCTCTTTGGCCTGCTTCAAACGACGATTCTTCCCTATTATTAACACACACACACACACACACACACACACACACACACACACACACACACTCAGTTATCATTATTAAAATAGTGCCAAAACCAAATTTATTTATATATTTGGGGTTCAATAATTGTCACAATCATTATGGATCCTTCGGACACTTTCCTTCTCTATCTCGATATGTCAAAATGTACAATAATATTTTAAAATATATTATTTTTTCAAAAATGTTCAATTAAAAAAATTTAGGGAAAAAAGACCAAAAAACAGTGCTATAGGCAGAAAGAGAGAAAATACAATAAAATATTACTGTTTTAGAGAAAATGCTTTTTTATATATGGGAAATGAAAGCAGGCAGCAAAAAATATCTAAAAAACAGGAACAGAGTGAATGTCCAGTGAGTCAGTGTCATTGTGACACTCTAGTAAAGACGATATTTAGTACATTTAGTCATTATTTCCCCAGCTACAAAGAATTATTCTAAAAACATAAACGCTTTTTTACGAATAACAACAAAAACGTGTCAAATTCCTCAAGAACTTGATGAAGTCAAAGATGATATGAAATCTTAAAATGTGTTGTGGCAAAATATGTCCTTATTAAATGGTTTTAAAATTAGTGTAAAACATATTGTTGTAAAAAAGTAAGAATTAAGGATATAACATTAAGGTTACATGTCAACAATTGATATAAATGTAATCAATTATACATGATTTTCTATGGAGTATTTAGCATTAAAAACAGAAATGAAAAACGACACGATTCAATTTTGTCAACAAAAGAACTGAAATGATCAACAGAAAGGTTTTATTCCGCATTCAAACCATATTATTCATTCATTCTCTCGTTGTTTTCATACAGATTTACATCGACATCGGCTTGCTGGACAGCTAGCATGTCAGCTAAGCTCCAGTGTATAGCGATGACAAGCAAAACGATTACTTACTTTTACGGGCTTCTGCGACCTTTTCTGCGGCTCGTTTTTCAGCCTGGAGCAGCTGCTGGATGCCCTGAGACTGGCTCGCCATGCTTTGGTACGGATTTTATTTGAATCAATGCAGATGGACGCGTTTGGATGTCCGTATCTCCCGCAGTGGAGAAGGTCGACTGAACGTCAGCTGATCGAGCGTCACACTGAATGCTGATGACAATCACGTGACTGCACGAGACTCACAGCGTGTCATGACTTCAGGCTTTCATTAGATGGCGCTGGCGGTACAATGTATTTTTGATGTCAACATGGTATTATAGAGATAGTTCACCCAAAAATACAAAAATAAATATTCTGACATTTACTTTCCATTCGCTTGACCAAACCTATTTGAGTTTCTTTCTTCTAATGAACACAAAATAAAAATATTTTGAGAAATGTTGGACACCTGTGACCATTCACTTCCATAGTATTTGTTTCATCCTAATATAAAAATGACAGGTTTTTAACATTTTTTAAGATATCTTCTTTTGTGTTTAAAATAAACTCATAAAGGTTTGCAACCACTTGAGAGTGTATAATGAGTGCAATTATATTTCTGAGTGAATTATTCCTTTAGTTAAATGTATGTAAACTTATTTACATGAACACAGCAAATTCTGGTCTTTGGAATCAACTCCCGGGGAGTTAAAATCAACTCAATCTGAGTGTATATGCGTGACCATCAAATTTATTCCCTGAGTTAAAATCATTTTGCTTTTGGAGTTGAATTTAAACACATTTTTGAGTTAAATTTTAAGTCTTTCTGGAGTTAAAATTGTAATCCTACAGAGATCACGTTCGCGACTAAATCATGTTACAATTCAAAACATTCCATAAGCATTATTAAATGTATCCAATTTTACAGACATAAAGCGGTATTGCTGGATAAAACATAAATGTTACCTTGCTGTGTAAGTTAGCCTACTTGAAATGTAAACAGCAGCTTTCTTTATCTGATCAAGTATCACTTCTTTTTAAGACTGAACGCACATGTTCAGAAACAGAGAAAGGAAAGATTATTAGTTAGTGTTAGCTTGTTCACATCAACAACTTTTAAAAAAATACTGGCAGCTCTCTGCAACTCTCACATGGCTGCCCACTAAAGCTAAGCAGGGCTACGTCCGGTCAGTACCTGGATGGGAGACCACATGGGAAAGCTAGGTTGCTGTCAGAATAGATGTTAGTGAGGCCAGCAGGAGGCGCCCTACCTGCTGTCTGTGTGGGTCCTAATGCCCCAGCATAGTGACGGAGACTCTCTGCACTCCGTGTGTGCCGTCTTTTGGATGAGACGTTAAAATGAGCGGACTCTCTGTGGTTGTTAAAAATCCAAGAAAATCTTGGTCATCCTGGCCAAAGCTGCTCTCTGGTCTCTGTCCATCATGGCCTCCTAACCATCCCTATATCATAATTGGTTTAATCCCTCTGTCTCCTCTCCACCAATCAGCTGGTGTGTGATGTGTGGTCTGGTGTAATATGGCTGCCGTTGCGTCATCCAGGTGGATGCTGCACACTGGTGGTGAATGAAAACATTACCCCCCTATGTGTAAAAGCGCTAAATGTAAGGAATTATTATTATAAAAATACCGCACAAAACAGCCACATTGGAAAAGTTAACTTATGTTAGATGCTAAGATCGCCGCATGCAATCACTAGCGGTCAAAATACAAAACGAAACAATAACAGCAAAACACATTTCTGTCATAAAATTTTCCACATTTCAAAAAAGCTTTTAAAATTGTATAACAATGCACGTTTACCTACCTCACAACGAAGACCATGACACCAGTTATTTTGTGCTGCTCAGCAGGGTTGTGTAATGGCAGACTTTCTAAAAAAATCTAAAATTATAGTGCGAATACTACTTATTTTCTCTCTGTTTACATGTTTTGGTGTCCATATACTCCCAATAGGCCCTTGCCCTCATTTTAGCTCCTGTCAGCTAATCAGTGTGCACACCACTTCCAATGTTCTGTCGGGTAGTTTTAGCTTGTCAGATACGGAAAAATAATAGCCTATCTATCTATATGTTTTCATTTTTAAAAATTTAACAGCGGATTTCTGTTTTACATCTGTGACTTGGAAAAAAACTGCAGTGTATCTTTGCTGAAGAATTTTATTAGCTACTGTTATATTTACAAATTCTTCTGTAAATTTGCACATTCTTCATATACATATGAATAAAATAAATTAGATAATTATACAGTGCCTTATTAAATAATTCTAAAGTATAAAATAAACAACCCCTTATATTAAGAAATAAATGTGCCAGTAGCAACCAATGTTCTTCATGTTGTTCAGCTTGACATAAACATTGCATATTGAATTCCTTATATGTTAACTTGTAATTAACCTTACTTTTTAATCTCTAAAGACCAATTAATGTTGCTAGGTTGGTTAAAAATTACCTAAACATAAAAGTTTGCAGCCCAGAAATGTTAGTGTAACCTCTGATTATCATCTAATCCTAAAGCACTCCATTGCAGGTGGGCACTGTACATGTTCAACATCAGGAAGATCAGGACTTTCCAAGCGAAGCATGCTGCCCAACTTTTCATCCAGGCCCTCGTCCTTCCTGGGCTGGATTTTTGCAACAATTCTGGACGGAGGTCCATCATCTGCAGGCAAACCTCTTCAAAAAACTTAAAATGTTGCAGCATGAGTGGTCTTCAACAACCCCAAGAGAGCCCACGTCACTTTACCTCTCTAAATTGGCTACTGGTTGCAGCTAGTGCTAAGTGCTTGGGCTCTACAGCATTGTATCTGCACTTACAGTAAGATTCTACATGCCCACCAGAAGCCTGTAATTGATGAGCAACACCTCATGCTACCATCTCAGAAAAGCATATAATCACTCAGGCATTGCTTCTACTAGAGGAATGATCTTAAACACGTCTGAAACACTGAATTCTTGATCATATTCAAGTTATAGCGGAATAATCATCTTTTGTGTGCAGGGATGGGCAGTATTTCTGATGCATGCATTTTAAATACGTATTTCAAATACAAAATATTATTTTGTAATTTGAATTTTTTTGGAGTTAATGAAAATGGGTTAATATTTTCAATCAAAATACTTTTTTGTCTTGTTATTTTTGTGTTTTTTAAATACTCTAAAATACTTTGTAAGAAGTCTACATGATGATATATATTCGGTCTCATATTGATGCTTTCTCAGTTATTTGCCATGGCATGAGATCAGAACAGAAACTTGATTAAGAAGGTGGTCAATGTTTGGACTATGCATGAAATTATGCAACACACGTAAAGAAAATAACTGACAAACGGCAACAAAAGTCAAAAATCATTTAAAATAGTATACCGCACAATGCTAAGACCAGTAATTTATAATGACAGTGATTTTAGTAGTTTTCAGAAATCATGTCTTTACATTAGGTATTGAAGATTTCAATTGCAAATAAAATAGATTTATTAAAATTAATTAAATAAATTAATTAATTATTTAAAAATTTGTATATATCACCATCTTAAAATATAAGAGATTTCACTGACCACGCAATGGATAAAAACACAATGAAGTGATACAATACTCAGGTATTTACCACTTCTAATATATAGTATCCGGCGACACAGTTGTGCAGTAGGTACTGCTGTCACCTCACAGCAAGAAGGTCGCTGGTTTGAGCCTCAGCTGGGTCAATTGGCGTTTCTGTGTGGAGTTTGCATGTCCTTCCTGTGTCCGTGTGGGTTTCCTTCGGGTGCTCCGGTTTCCCACACAGTCCAAAGACATGCAGTACAGATGAATGGGTATAGGGTAAATTGTCCGTAGTGTATGAGTGTGAATGAGTGTGTAAGAATGTTTCCCAGAGATGGGGTGCAACTGGATGGGCATCTGATGTGAAAAACATATGCTGGATAAGTTGGCAGTTCATTCTGCTGTGGCAACCCCAGATTAATAAAGGGACTAAGCTGAAAAAAAAACTAAATGAATGAATGAATGAATAACTATAGTATCCAAAATATAGGTATAAACTACTTAGAATATTACATGTCTTATTTCAAACCATGTTTATATGAGCAAAAGTTTGGAACAATACACATTAGACAAAAGTGAATCACGCTTAATATTCAGTTAGAAATCCATTGTTTGAATTATCTGCATCAAGCCTGTGATCACTAAAGCTTTATATTTTACTGTTGTCATGTGTTCCAGGCTTTCATCTCAGCCTCTTTCAGTTGCTGTTTGTTTTGGTGTGTTAGTCTTCTGTTTAGCAGGTGAAATACCTGCTCTATAGCTGGGTTGTCAAATTCAGTTCCTAAAGGACTGCAGCCCTGCACAGTTTAGTTTCAACCCTGCTTCAACACACTTACCAAGAAGTTTCATCCAAGCCTGAAGGACCAATCAGGCGTGCTTAATTGGGGTTAATGCTTAACTGTGCAGAGCTGCAGTACTCCCGGAACTGAATTTGAAATCTGTGTTTTATAGGGTTTAGGTCATGAGATGTAATTCCCCTGACAAAAAAAACTTGTTGTTTTGTTGTTTTTGTTTGTTTTGTATGTTGTTTTGGCAGTGTGTGTGTTTGTGTCATTATCTTGCTGCACGATGAAGGATCTCCAATACTGAAGGATATGTCAGTACTTGCTATAAACAATGTGTACTTCATAATTAATTATTTTGCCCTCATATTTTTTTATCAAATAACATAACCTTCCCTTCCATCTCGAAACAATTTTTTCTTCACTTCTGGTCACAAAGAATGACTTTCAAAAGGGGCTTTCAAGTTTGTCTCATTTCTGCCCCGTTTTTTTCTTTCCCAACTTTCAATGATTTAATTGGTTACCAAAAAACTAAATAATGCACCCCCCTCCATTTTTTTCTTATTTCAGGACCTTTTCAATTAGATGCACATCAGAATTTTGACAGAAAGAACAACCATTTCCTCCGTTTCATGGCCAATTTAAAGTCAAGGCACAATATTACCTCCGTTTCACAGACGAGCTTGTATAGGATCATGTACAGATTCATTATCTCCTAACATCAGCCTGTCCATTACTTTGGTAATGGCTTATCTTTGACTCATTAGTCCATATATTTTTTTGTGTCCCATCATTTTTGAGGCTCATCTTTGTAATGGGTGTCTTGCATCGTCTGATGTAGC